ATAGCCTGTACAGTATCTGAACCATATACTAGCAACGTAATAGGCTCTGTACTTGCAGCTCTGCTCTCCCATGCTCCTGGGTATTCTGTCCATCACCAACATATTATTAACTGGGACAAATGGAGTGAGGACACAACCAGTGAATCCAAGGTTAACAGTGATTCTACTGCCATTCATCCCAATCTCTCAGACCCACTGTTCCTTCGAAACCCACTGCCACTTCCATCCAGAAGGACAAGGGCAGCAGATACATGGGAACACCACCCCCTGCAAGTTCCTCTCCAAGCTATTCACCATCCTGACTTGGAAATATATCACTGTTCCTTCAGTGTTACTGGGTCAAAATCATGGAACTCCCTCCCTGCTGACAGAACACGGACTGCTGAGCTCAAAAAACAGCTCACCCACCACCTTCGGACCACAGAGAAATGGAATAGCTGCATTGCTCTTGCAGAGGCTGGAACAGACACATGGCTCTGAATGGCTTCTGTGCTGACACCCTTGTAATTCAAAAGACGGAAGGGTAATACATTGTGATCTTGCCAGTGAAGTCTACTATATATGATGTAATTAAAAAACAAATGCCTCTCTCCTTCATCACAGACCCACTGTTGGGACTTTGCTGAAACCATCCATGGGTTAAAATAACCAAGGACAGTGTGTTGTCATAGGGATACAATGTGTCTCTTACAACTGGTGAAAGGGCTGTGGCCAAATGGTCCCCCTCTCTATACGGTCAGTACCTGAAGAATACATGCAACGACGGAGCTTCCCAGCCCTTTGGGATAGAGAATTCCAACAGATTCACCACCCACTGACTGAAGAAATTTTCATCTCAGTCCCAACTGACCCATCTCATATTCTGTGAGTGACCCCTCATTTGAGATCCCCAGCTGGGGAAATATCCTTTCTATATCCACCCTGCAAGCCCTGCAAGAATTGTTTATTTCTGAATCAATCACCATTCATTCTTTTAAATTTGAGAGAATACAGCCACATTATCCTCAATTTCTTCATATAGGACATTCTCTCTATTTCATGGAGACTGAATTTCTGCTGTGCCATGTATGTCCTTCCTTAGGTAAGAAGACTAAAATAGTACACAATACTCAATGTGGTCTCACTAAGTTTCTGTAGAAATGCAGCAAGACCCCTTTGTTCTCGTATCCAAATCCATTTGCAATAAAAGGCAACATATCAATTGCAGCCAGGCCCCTTTTGGACATCAACATTTCCCAAGCTCTTTCCATTTAAGAAATACTGAATATTTCTGTATTTTACCACACAGACTCTGTTTTCAACCTTTGGAATTTCTGGGGGCTGAGGGCAGCCGAGCCATTGTGATGACTGAGTGGGTTTGCTGATGGTCTTCTCTGCTATTCTTCTTTCACGCCGTCGCTTTAGCCTGGGGAATGAGGAACAAAACAATTCTTAGCTAAATATATTCATATCATGACATGCCAACCATGAACTGCAGAGTCTTCCATATCCTTCACTTTAAAAGTGAGAAACTTGGGTTTGAAACTAGTATCTTAAACTTCCAATAAACTTCAAGGATAGAAAAACATACTTGGTGAAGGTACACTGGAAAAGTAGGTAAAGAGGTAAAATGGCAGATAGGCAGTGGCACACAATGAATGAGCTAACAGGGTAGTTGTTATAGCGAAAGTAACAGGGTAGTTGTTATGGGGGACTTTAACTTTCCAAA